AGCCTCTGAATGATGTGGGGTTCACCTCATGGCTGACTCAGTCATGGCTCCAGGCAACAGGTCATTCACATCACATTACTATGATGCATGCATTACATTTAATGCAGTTCTCAAACCCAGTGACTACAGGTTTATGTGCTGGTAAAACTTTGTGAATTTTGTTACATACAGATGGCTCCACATGTGCTCAGCCAGCAAGGAGTCTGGCCCTAGTGACCGCTCCTGATTTCCCCATTCCTTAAATTTGCAGGGAAACGTGTTTTTCTCTCTAATACTATTAATAGTGACATTGGTATTATTTTCATTGATATCATGATTATCATACTGTTATTAAAATATTAATAACATTAAAGACAATAAAATAATACCAATGAAGCTTTTAAAAAATCAAGGAAAAGGGTAAATAGGTGAGGTATGTAAGCCTAATAACTGACTCCTTGGTGACTAAGCACTAATAGAGCCATCTATGTGTTAAGACAATAAATACACTTTTATTACAGTGAGCATGGCATTGTAGTCTTGCTATCTGTGCTCACAAGGTACCCTCATGCCCATGTCTTATACCCTGGGGCACTGCCAGAGGGAGAAGCAGAGGTATAAAGCTCCATCTGTTTATTGTTTTATATAAAACCCATAAATCAGTTGCCTGCTATGCCTGGAAGATATACCAAAACATTGTGCTCTCTTGCTAATGTTGTGAACCTGTAAGTTAGCTCTAGTTTATATGATCAGTCACCTTGTGTCAACTACTTAGATTGTCAAACGGTCCCCTGCCATTATGACACACAAACGAGAAGTACTGAAGGCATGGGAGTAGCAGCTCTGTATATAACTGCATACAGAGTAGCAGTCTTGTATACAACTACATACAAATTCTTATCTTATAAGAATAAGATTTGCAAAAATGAGAGAATATCTGTTACTTTATCCCTCAATAAAACCATATTCCATCATGTACATGGACTCTAATGCAGACAATTAGATTACTACAGGTTCAATCTAGCACCTAAAATGAAGATCATTCATTTCTGAACATGCAAAAACACTAAAATCATATTTTGGATACAAGTGATGCAAAAGAAATCATCAAATCACTTTGTTGGTACAGTGCGGAAAGAGCCACGCCCCGGCCACATCAGAAAGAGTCCCTGGAGGTAAGCCCAGTTGGCCAGGCAAACCCCAAATTCTCCCAGAGGCATTGGATTAAGGTAAATAAAGTACACAAAGAAGCTTCGTTACAACAGTGCTTAACATCCCTTGAATTTACATAGTGACTGGTGGAAGTTATAGTGCAATAAGTGGTGGAAGCAGTGATGTGGTTGTCACTGTGGCAGTTGCAGTCACTGGGATTAGGCTTCAGATTACCATGGCAATGTTGCTGTGAAATAGCAAGCTTTCAGTATCTTAGATTTTTCCCTACCTTTCCTATTTATCCTTTTTTGGGGGTATAAATCTATTACAAATATATCAATAATCTCTAAAGCTTTAATAATGTTAATACTTATACATCATCTTTTATAACCACTGTCATTACATAATCCCTAATTGAGATAATAACTCACCAATACTGATCACGATGCCAATATTCCCAAAAATTTTCAAGAGCTAGTGTTGCATCAAAATGGTTACTATTCAGATGTTGCACCTTTTTTCAATAAATTACAGAACTTATGGCTGCCACTTTTCGTCAACCCAGTCTTTTTAATGAGGAGTCATTATCTATTCAATTATTAACCTATTCTTGTTTATTCATCTTTTTATTATTATCAATATTTTTGCAAGTAATGCAAATCACTTGAAAAAAATATCACAGATAAGAGAGAAGAGAAAAATCAAAAAATCAAAAATCATTTTCTAGTTCAGAGCAGTAAAATCAATAAAATGGCTATCAATAACAATCACTTATCAAATAATTTGCGAAATACAATTTTCCTCTAATTTCTATCAATGAATAAATATATAAATAGGCTGAACAAAAATATATATAATTATTATAATGAAACTGACCATAATCATTATCTTTTTTATCCCACACACAAATGTCTGCAGGAAACTAAAAACTAATAACATTATACTCTGGCAAGGCTATTGCATAAAAAGAACAAACTTTGCCGGACATCCATTTGAGTATCTAACTGATGGGAACCTGGCTATGCTTTACCTCTTGAATCCAATGAAGACTATTTGTCATCGATGAAATAACCAGAGTTTCCAGTTTCCTTATTGTCTCGGTCAGGTAAAGGTTGGATTGGTTCCAGCTGTACCAGCCTAGAGGGTTTGCTGGTTCAAAGACTTATCTTAACAAATTCTGTTTCCTCTGTTAGAGCTAAAGAGTCATCATCTGGATTCATTATGAAACATGACATCCCTTTCTGGGAGAGCATATAGTGCAGAGGTTAAGCCTACCACTCAGTGTATGTCAAGGATATATGCCCTAAAATGGGTTGCTTTAACCTCAGAACATTATCCTCTTCGACTGATTATCTGCATTTGCTTGGTGTTCCTACTGTTTTTGTCACTAACCTAAAGCATTTTGGTAATGTAAATATCACTAATACCTTGTAATGTGGTAATTCATTGTCAATATTAGGAAACTTTCATCTATTACTCTGTACTGTGACAAATATCACTGGAAATATCATTCATCGATCCCTTTGTGATCTGGTTCTTAGAGGTTTATATAACATGTACATCTTCTATACAACTATTAAATAATTTCCTATGCAACAGCATCTAAGAAAGTCACAGCATCCAGGATTCAACAGAAAGAAATAAAGAAAAAGATAAGTAGAAATAAGCAATCTGAAATTAAAGCTTAAATATAAAAAAATAGTGATGCAAAAACACAAGACATTCCCATTTAGAAATATTAACAAATTGCAAGATGAAAATCAAATTTAAATTCTAAGCAGAATGAATGCTTCCCAACACAACTTCTAAGGACATTACCTCAAAATATAACTTTATGATAAAATTGTGTTACCATAAAAGAAAGCTTAAAATACATATAAAATAATTCAGCTTTCAGGGATTGGCGCACTTTCTTCTTACTCTCTGATTCCCACCATCAGAACGTCCACAAATGGCTGTTAGCTACAAAACTATAATTCAATGGGTGTTCAACCTCCTCCTCTTGCTTTCTCCATCACCTTCCAGCTACCTTTCGGAGGCAGTCCTCAAGACCCAAACTCTTGTGTGTCTGGCTCGATGCGCTTGTACTCGAAGGAGCCGCGCCCGTCCATGTGCAAGTAGTACTGAAGGGAGACAAGAAATGGGGTTAGGAGGATGAGCAATAACAAAGGCATCAGTGGATTAGATAACACTGATGTATGAGGTTAGTTATATTGGGACTGTATCTTGCTATATTTTCTAAAATGAATAAAATAGCTAAACAAACATTATAAATTAATAAACCATAAACAATAAATAAATAAATTGATTAAATAAAGAAAGAAGGAAATAACTTTTTTATGCAAAGGCAAAAATGAGTGAAAAGCTGTGAAAGAAGGGCTTTTTCACCTTTTCTTTATTTTACACTTTTTATTGATTTGTATAGAAAATATCTCGTTCCTATTATTACTCAACACACTGGCAACTGGTGCATGCACTGTCCACATTGGTTTTGTTTTATTAATTTTATTTACACACAGATGGCCTCACGAGCACTAAGTCACCAAGGAATCAACTATAGTCTGCTCCACAGAGTCTGATGGACAGGCAGAAAAAAGCTTGGATGTGATTGCCAGATTCAAGCCAGTGTGGCTCATGCATGGAGTGGAAGGAACTTCTGTTACAAGAGAGGAATAACAGACTGTGAAGTACATCAGCTGCCCAACTGCCAAAAGAAGTTTGCAACCCAGCACCACTTGGGCAATGACAGCTTTAGAGAACATTAATAAAACTAAACCTCAGTGGAAAGTGACTGTGTATATGTAAACTCACCATTAATGGGTTGACTCATCTAAGTACTTGATATGTAATCACAATTAGAATCCTTCTTAAAATATATGAGTACATAACTCCCAGATGAAAACACATACATGTTTGTCTACAAAGTCTAGTCACAATATTAGGGACTATATACAACTTATATAATTCTAAAAGACTGAATATAGTGACTTCAAAAATGGATTATGGTTAGGGGGAGTTTCAACATTAAATATATCACATCATTGACTTTTTTTTGTACTAATTCTCAAATCTATTTGCATTTCATGCATTTCTTTATCGTTTATAAATGAGAATATCAATTTCTGTTCTTTGTTGCTATACCTCTTTCTGTCTTATTTCATTTTTTCAGCTGACCTCAAGATCTGTGGTTTCACTAATTCCCTTAATGTCATCTGTATCTTCATTCATTCTTACATTTCTTCTTCCTCTAAAATAGGGCTGAAATTTCAATAGTTTTATCATACATGCTGAAATCTGATTTCATATTACCAACCTCATGATGCTTCCACAGGCTTTTGCGGTGAGAAACTGTGAAGAGAGTGATTCCCACTTTACTGCAGTACTGGTACATGGCATCCTCAACATCTACACTCACTGCACTTGTGCATTCATCTAGGATAGCAAACTGGGGCTTGTGGTAAAAGAGACGGGCCATCTGAAAATGTAAATGCACATTACCTTATTTTGGAGAAAAGATGAACACTGAATATAAGTGATTTTTAAAAAGATTGGATTACAGGCATTTAAAATCACTTTACAAGAACAAAACTAAGATGCAAGTATCAGGTTATATGCAAGCCAAGGAAGAAATGTAAGATTAATATTTGTTACTGGGTTTATGCCCACTGTAGTTTTATTTTGTGAGTTGTCTTTTCATATAGATAGCTCCACAAGTGCTCAGCCACAAAGGAACCAATTAGTAGGTCTACATGACCTTGTCTGATTTCCCCTTTCCCTGAGTTTTCAGAAAAAAGGGGTTCTTGACATACATTAGCAGCTTCCCCCATTTCTGTTCAGTTCTTCAGGTATTTCACACATAACATTAGGCACCTAATGGTTTACACTTGTATTTCATAAGAAAAGAAAAAAGAAAAGGAAAAAATGTGAAGGATTTCCTTCACTATAAATGCCTATATCTAATACTGACACCAAAACCAATGATGTTGCTACTATCTGAGAAAGACAAACTCCCTTCATTAAGCCGATGGTGCAGTGCCATCTGTGCCTCTGTCCACCACAGCTACTGCATCATGATATGTTAACTGAAGGGTGAACATGGATACAGTTATCACTATTAACATGATTTCTATAATGTTAACAACATTAATAATAAAAGCGACAAAAAAAAAATAATAATGCTTCTAAAAATTATAGATAGATAGGACTAGTAATTAACTTTCAATTTGACTAAGCACTTGAGATAACAGGGAATGTACATTCATACCATCCCCAGTGGCAAAGAGTTGAACTGAATATGTGAATTTGGAGGCAGAAACAAAGTAGAAATAGATATGAACAACTGCAAAAGGGTGAATCTTATATTTTCTAAAATATTAATCCTTTGTCTCTATAATTTTCCTCTCACTGCACATTTTCACAAAATAAAATAAAATGAAAAAGAATGTTTGCCCATAAAACTTTTTATTTCCAAATCATTAGACTAGCTGTGTTGCTACTAACAGCAAAAATGTCTTTTGCTCTCCATAGCAACCTCCTAAAGTCCATGAGTGCTTGACAGAGTATATCTGAACTTTTGATGTTCTATCCAAAGATACTCAATAGAGGACAGCCTCTTAACCCTACAATCCAAATGACATGACTATCACACCATGACAAAATTCAGCTCGAGGGGTGAGTGACGTGAACATGCTGTCACAGGAAAATTTGGCTGTGGGCCTGGGTGACACAAACTCACCAACGTCAGAATTTCAGCTGAAGGCCAGGGTGATGGCAAAGACTCACCACGAGTGCACAAAGCCCTTTGAGGATGATCAAACTGCTTTGGCATTTAGGAAGGGGCTTTTGCATTATTTCTATCAATAAAGTGTGGAATGTACCATCTGTGAGGCATGACCAGAAGAGTGCCAGAGGATACTATTTCCAAGCTCATGCCACTGTGACAGGCAGTGGAGGTTGTATTACAGAAAGTTGAATATTAAGAAAAAATAAATAAAAACAACACAAGTAACAAAATGTGAGGAAGTGTGAGGAAATGATTCTGGTACTATTTAGGGAGTTTCTTCCCCTAAAACCACCCCTTCATCCTCCCCATCTCCTTGTATACTTTTATCTCCAGGGATCAGTCATATGATATGTGGCACTTCTTACAAGGAAATAAATGGAAAATAATTATTGTGGCGCATGGTGTGCACAGTTCTACAAACACCGCGATTCTCCATACCACTTGTACGCCCTTGTCTCCTTCAACCAATCATACAAACACCTACTGTTAATGTGCATGCTTCTTCTTTATGTGAGTGAAAAGAGTACAAAATATTCTTATAATATATGGCATGTACAAATCCCCCAAAACAATACTACTTCTGTACTACTTCTCTCTAATACATTTGGATTATATGATACACATTCATCTCTGTCTCTGTCTGTCTGGCTGTCTTTGTCTGGCTGTCTGTGTCTGTCTGTCTGTCTGTCTGTGTCTGTGTCTGTCTCTGTCTGTCTGTCTGTCTATCTCTGACTGTCTGTATGTATGTCTCTGTTTGTCTGTATGTATGTCTCTGTCTGTCTGTATGTATGTCTCTGTCTGTCTATCTGTCTCTGTCTGTCTATCTGTCTCTGTCTGTCTATCTGTCTCTGTCTGTCTCTGTTTATCTGTCTGTCTCTGTTTGTCTGTCTGTCTGTCTGTCTCTATATAAATATATTATATTGAACTTTTTGCAAATTTGACACTGGTAAATTTTGCAACAGGTGTCATTGCAAACTACCCTTTTCAGTAAAAAATAGATTAAAGTTTGCATACTTTTCCTAATTTTAAAAATCTGCCTGTGACACTCTTTACAGTGCTCTTTACAATGGTAGTGATCAATCTTAAATCAAAACAAATTTGAAAATGGTGGGTGGTACCATCCATTAGTGCAAAGCCAAATCAAAATATTGTTATCATAATTTATGCTTTTACCTTTCAACATACTTACTTCATACTCTGTACACACACTGACCACTATATAAACTAGAGCAAGTTTCAATGCAAAGCATACTGTACACAAAACTTACATTTTGAAAGAAAAAACTCAGTGTAATTTTCTTTTTCATACTGGTATAAAAATATTCTTTTAACATTTACATACAAATATCAAAACATAATGTCATTATCAAATACCATATCTATGTTTGCCACAAGTTAAAGTCCATACAGGTGTCCCTGGCACAAATTACCTACATAAGCAATTCAGCTACAGGCACTTATGGCCTTACTACTCCAAGTGGGCTCTTAGAGTCATGTAGAATTGCCATAAGCTAAACTAATTCCAAATGACCCCTCGAACCCACCCCTCAGGGATGGTCCCCCCTTAAGGTTAAAAGGGAAAAAAATAATAATGAAAAAATAAAATAAATAAATAAATAATAGTACTTACTGCAATCCTCTGTTTTTCTCCGCCTGACAAGACATCCATCCAATCTGCGACGGCGTCCCAACCTCCTTCGCGGTCAAGGATGTGAGTGAGCTGTACTTGTTGCAGGAGCTCTCGAAGGTTGTCGTGTGTGATCCCTCGTGCAATCATTTCACTATACGTGTCAGGGTATATAACCTAAACAAAACAATATGCAAGAATTAAAATTAATATGTCTGATCTGCGTGGTAACTTTCAATTTTATCTTCTCTCTTTTTTTTTTTTTTTTTTTTTTGGGTTTTTAATGTACCTATTTCTTTATTTCTTTTCAAGTGAAAACCTAACCAGAACTGACCTGATCCCGGAGAGTCCCCAAAGTCATGTAGGGTCGCTGTGGGATGTAGAACAGCTTGCCTGCGCTTGGTTTGGTTACTGTGCCTCCAAACACTGGCCAGAGCTAAAACCACGAAAAAAAAAAAAAAAATTCAACACCATACATTCCCTAAATATCTAAATTATTAGATAGATCCATAACATATTTTTCTCCTAAATGTAATCACAACAACATTAAAAACCAAACAAACAAACACATACACATGTCCAATGAAAACACACACACACAAAAAAAAAAAAAAAAAATGACAGAAAAAGTAACTTTGACACTGAATCAGCACTACTCCTCACCTCTCCCAGGATTCTGAAGAGGGAAGACTTGCCACAGCCGTTCGGGCCGCAGACAAGGACGTTCATCCCAGATTTGACCTCGAAGTTGAGCTCTCGGACCAGGACGTCTCCATTGGGGGTGACAAGGGGCACGTTCTCAAAGCGAATCACATTGTCCTCATTGATGACTTGCCCAGCTCCAGGGATGAGAGGTTTGCCAAGCACACCTGATAAGGGTAACAAGTGAAGGATATATTATTTACCTCTCTGCTAAGTAGAAAAATAAGACTAAATTTATGAAAAATGTCTTCAAACAGTATTCTAAACTTACAGGGATGATAGTATAACTTCTATACCACTTAATCTACTAAAGACCGGTGTCCCACCAGTGGACATCCAGAAAGTGGACCATTTCCAGGCGGCTTATATGTGGGACACTGTTCCGAAGAGTTATGATAAGAGAGAGGGAAAGAGACAGAAAAAAAATAATGAAAATGAAAAATAAAGGTGAGACTTGGGAGTGGGGTAGGGAAACTGATAGACCGGGAGCCAAGCAGGTAGGCAGAGGTAGATAGAGAGACAGAGAGGTGTGGGTGTGGGTGTGGGTGTGGGTGTGGGTTTGGGTTTGGGTTTGGGTTTGGGTGTGGGTGTGGGGGTGGGGTGGATGCCCGCACAGACACGTATGCCTGTGTGTTTCACCA